CATTCAATTTGTAATGACAGGGAGAAGAGGTGATTAGTTTTTGGCAAAGGCATGTCCAGCGGTTTCGGAGGTACAGAGCTAAATTTGCAAAAAATGGCAGTTTTTGAGAGAACTAAGCGTCCGATTTGAATTATTTCAATAACTTTCTGCTTGTTTTAACAAAATAATTGACTTTGGAAAAAAAAATTTGCATCAATTTTTTTTTTTATTTCTTTTTCCAAAAAAATTTTATTTTGTATATCGAAAATAATTCAGATTTTTATTTTAATTCTGTTCTGATATACTTTAAGCAAATAATTTTAACTTTCCAATTTAGTTTATATAATTCTTATAAATATTCGACAATGTTACAATATTTATAATAATCTATTTTAAAACATTTAATATTCCTCGATCATTTTGTTACGGTACGGGAAGTTCCAGCAATCCAGACCCGACAGACGTTGTTCTGTACCCACGTCTACAATTTTTCAATATTTTATACTAATATTTACTGCTTAGTTAAAAATAATAATTACTGTTTTTTGAATTACTATTTACACCAATATATGAGTGATGTTCGATGTAGAACTGTTTCAAATAAAATGATTGTTCTCAATTCCCACAGTTAACACTTTAATTATTCATTTAACAAATATTAAAAAATGTTCATGAAAATTGTATATTAAAAATTATACATTGCGATTATTTTATTGCATTTAAGGGTTATATAGTATTTTCAGTCATACCTGTAGATGTGGATGTATAAATGAATGATTTTTTGTTTATTCACGACTAAAACATTGATTTTCCAAATTTATCACACTAAAAATGATCGTCTGCCTTTGTGATTTATGGTCATAGCATAAGACACACGTGCTGAAAATTGAAATCTTTTAAAAAGTACAACAAATTCAGAAAGAATTAATATATAGAATTTGCGCAAAGGTGCAATATCACCTTTTATTTTTCTACCCAAAATAATTGCTTCAATAATGTTGCCTATAATTTTTATAACTTCGTACCATATTTTAACTGGCTTTTAGAAATTTTAATATCTAAATTACATTTTTTTCTCCAATAAATCAATATACCTTATTGCTTAAGTTTATATTTGAAGTAAATTAATTTGTCAAATCCTGTTCACATGTGCTCTATTCAACTTACGATCAACAAAATTATTGCTCTGTGAATTTTTATACTGTGCTCCAATTTACTTGATATTTTGGAAATAGGCTAATCTTTATCTTAAGTTCAATATTTTTAACAATTTGCACTCCGTCACCATCCACAGCATTAATTGGATTATTACTCTTTTATCAGAACTTGTAATACACTATTTTAAAGGTGATTAAATGAGCTACAACTTTCTCTATCATAAATTTTACCGTAACTTCTCTTATTGTGAAACGGCGAAGGGTTAAAGGGCTCGAAAGACCTTGGCTGGACAGCCGCGCACTCCTTAATTAATATCTCTATCAATATTTGTGTAATGGGAAAATAATAAACAACAATAATTAGTCAGTCAAATACCTCGAATTTTCATATATATATACATATATATATATATATATATATATATATATATATATATATATAAACTTTTATACGTATTTTTTCAGAGATATTAAAATGAGAAATTGGATGTTTTTTTAATGTTTTTTTTTTCATGAAATCATGAGTTTTTTGAAAATCGTTTGTACTAAAGTTGTAGTATTTTCTAGAATCCATCAAGATCTCTTAAACCAAGTTAATTCTAGATGGAATACGATTATTTTTAAATTTGGTGGAAATGGCACTGAAAAACTATTTGATTTAAATGAAAAAACATTATATGCGTCTTTTATTTGCATGATAGTTTACTCATTTTACACGCAGAAGTACTCATTTTAAAGCTTATTTTGAGCACAATAAAAATCCATTTTCATATCTAGCCTAATAATGTTCCTAAAACACTATAAAATAGCGATTTATTAAGATTTTAATTGATATAATTTTGTTCATTACACGATTTTCGTTAAAATGTATATTTTTGAAGATATTAGCAAAAAATGATGAAAAACGCAAAAAAGAAACATATTTTCAGTAGCCAGTAACTTGAAAAGTATTTGCTTTTTTGAAAAACATTATCAAACATTTTTCTCTTATAATTAGTTCTTTTATCGATACCCAACGTTATTTTAAAAAAAGTAAAATTACACCACTGAAAAGAAATGTCATCCACCCGAGAAGTGGTAAAGGAGTCTAAATTGTTTTCACTTTTGAAGAGTAAGATGAACCTTTGTTCATCCCATTATTCCAAAATTCCAAACTGAAATGGAAAACAGTAAAAAAAGTTCAGACCGTACCCAATGACAAACATATGAATTTTTGACACAATGAAACTTCTAAATATTTTTTTTGTATTGTGACTTAGTATAGTAAGGCAAAACGACTGCAAATTGAATATTTTTGAGCGCAATCACTTATGGCTCGTTTCCTTTGCACGAATTCGTACGGCGAATCTGTTCGCAAAGTGCGCAGACAAAATTATTGCAAGCAAAAGCAAACCACGCGTTCGTTGAGAACACGATTCGCCGTGCGCGTCAGACGCATGCGCCGACTGTCAGGCGCATGTTATATTATTTGCATCTTATATTAATTTAATTTTTGGCACATCTCAGTTGCTTTTCAGCATTAATAATATAGACATTACATTTTCCTTATTCATAATATTGAATTTATTATATTTTAATATTGCCTTAGCCAATAAGTGAATAGAAATGTTTGGCAAATGGCAGTCTTCAATTGTTTTTAATGTCAAACTAGCTTCAAATATTTTCAAGGGCAAACAATGATAAGCGGTTTTTTGTAATTTTTTCTATTTATTTCTACAATCTAACTATATTTCTATGAATCAAAACATTCTAGAAAATTTCCCGAACAAACTTTAGGAAGATTCATGAAAATCGGAATTATAGTTTAGGAGGAATAATGAAACTTACATTGTTACAGAAGAATTTTATATATAAGTATATAAATATAATTTTATATGTATGTATGTGACATTATTTTTTTGGCCAATACGTCATTTTGTAATTTTTGTATTAGTGTTAGATTTATTGTATTCTCTCTAATCTTATATATAAAAATGGAGCGCTCTTTCAAATGTCGAAGTAATACTCGAAAACGGCTGAATTGATTTGGCCAGTCTTAGTTTTGAAAAATTCGTGCCAATCCAGAGAAGGTCCAAAAGGTGAGAAATTATTTCAAATCCGCGTAGAAACTTTACATTTTTATTTCGAAAATTTTTGTAGAAGCGTTATTTAAATAAAACAATGGACGGTGGCAATTACGTGAAATGTCAAACGCTTTTGACAGATGATGTTCAATTACGTATAATATGATGTTTTACGCGAATATTATTTAATTATGATAAATTTGTAGTAAGTAGTTTTGTTTGTAGTTTTATTTATATACAAAAACGTTAGTAAACGGGCCGCAAGTGTTACTAGAGACTCAAAATATAAACTTTTTTGATATGTCAATATATCTCATTTGTATAATTATATGCTCATTGGTATTTATAAAACATTTTCTAGGTTATATTATTTTTTATTTATGTTATTTAAATTCAGAACCTAAATTTGGTATCGATCAAATGGACATTTTGTCGAATAACATTTTTCCAGTTATAATTTCCCAGAATTTATCGCAGAATTGATTGTAATATATGAAGGTCCGGGGTTAAAAAGGTCCACCATCGATGTGTCAAAAATCAGTAAAGATAGGCATTGTTTAACAACAATATTTGAAAGTAGAGGGAAAAGATGTATAACCAGCTATAACTTTGATTCTTATGACTTTGCTATCGGGACATAAACGGTAATCTTTGAAAATCCATATTAAAAGTATTTTCTTCTGTTGGTAGTTTTTTAGCATTAGTTAAAAATGTTATTGTTTTTTAAAATACCTTTAAAATTAAAATAAGACATTAAACCTGTTTGCCACCTGGCCGTTACAAGTTACTCCGCCTATAGGGTAAAAAAGTCTAGATAATAAATTTTTTAAAGACAGCAAAAATGCACCTTTCTACAATGATGAAGTAGCTGACAGTTTTGCTGAACGTAGTCAGATAATTGTTTGTTTGAAATGTGTTATTTGTTGTGATATGATTGGTTTGATTTATACAATATCATTAATATTTGCTCAAAGTCAAATTGGACCTTCGTGCCTCGCCCTGCTCTACATATATACTTATTAAATTTACTTTAATTCATCGAATGTTATTTGAAACTTTTCAAAAAGCAGGATAAAAGAAGAAATACTTAATTCATTTTTTATCTCTCCTCGCAAAAATTTGAAAATTTCGTATAAGCATTATTTACAATTATACACAAAATCCCGAATCCAAAAAGGAATCTGGAAAACTTGAAACGTAATCAATAAGTCGAAAGACCAGAAAAAGACTTGGGTTGGATTATACTATGTTTTCTATAGAAAGTGTATAAATCTTCCAGTTTAATTGTATTGACAAAATATAGACAAACTAATAGGGTTTATTGTTTTTATAATACAGCATTGTATATAGCGTTCAAACAACGCATCGTTATACACTTTGAAGTATTAATATTTTTGATTCTCTAGAAATTGTTTAGAATATACCTTACTTAGCAAAACAACGTTTGCCGGGTCAGCTAGTATTTTATATATTATTAATATTCACAGAACTGTATTAGTGTTACATTTATTGTATTCTCTCTAATATTTTATATAAATATTCACAGAACTTGCTAAAGATGACACAAACGTAATGTGAAACTGGTCCAATAAAGCAATTATTTTTTTATTTATATTTTTATTCGACGTATTGGCCAAAAAAATAATTTCATATATATATATATATATATATATATATATATATATATATATGTATATAATGTTATATTATATTATAAAATTAAAATTTATATACGTTTAGTGTTTTTCTTGGTATAACATGCTTATTTGTTCATAATTTAATAAAAGGATAATATTTTTAGGCCGAGCTTGTGAATTTGCGGGAAGAGCTTTCAGGTTGCCAAGCAGAAAAAGAACTGTTGCAAGATAAACTTGAGACGATTGCGAGAGATGTTCGTGAGGCAAAAAGCCTAAAAGACATATCCGATCGGTTACGGATCAATCCACTGAACAACCAACAAACTTTTTGTGGTAAAATGATGCTTTTACTTGGATTTTAATTTCTTTCATCGCATTCACATCTACTAGTTTTAAAATGATACAAGTTGACAAGAACCATCATCATTACTCGAAACAATAGCACACATAAATTTAAAATGCCAACAAATGTGCCTCTGGTTTCTTTGTTACTTCTTGTGAACTTATACTTTATCGTGTTCCTCGACAATTTGCAATATTAATTTTTAAAATTGTCGTGCCGTAGTATAAAATAACTAATTATGAGAAATTTTACGATTGGTATTAACACTAAATAAACTCACTAAATGAATACCTTCGAAGTAATTCAACAGAAATTGCATTAATTTGCATTGTTTTAAATAGAATAACTTATTTTTACACTTCAGTTTTTTTATATTCATATATGCTTCATTTCTGGTTTGGAAAAAATTTAAAGGTAGTTATGTTTTAATTGTGTTCCATTTATAATTGGCAAATCCGTTTTGATTGCAGTATTTCATACTTTTGGCCCAAACATCGAATTATAAATAAAATATTTTATTATCGGAAATATTAAAAAACTGTTCTGCGTTCTTTACATTATGTGAATATATATCAGCGTAATTATAAATACAATTTACAGAAAGCAAACAGTTTGCGCAAGCCCGAGCCCTGTCTAAAATTTTGAAGAAAGAAAATGATAGTTTACGAAATTGTATTATCAATCTTCAATCTGAAGTATATGAGGCCAGGTAACTACAATAATCAAATCCAAATACTGCAAGTTTATTCTTATAAAATTGAATATAATAAATTTTACGTTTTTTCTTCCGTTTTGATCAGACTGACATCACGCTATCTTGATAAAGAATTGGCTGGAAGAATTCAGCAGTTACAGCTGCTAGGACGTGAAATCAAAGGTGCTTTGCGTGATAAATTATGGAGACAATTGGAGGCCGAAATTCTAATACAAAGACATAAGACAGTTGTTCGTGCTTGTCGCAATCAGAATTATCTTATTATGAATAATACGCCTGCACATCCAGTACGTTCCGAACCGACGGCTGCAGAAGTTCAAGTAAAAGATCCGAGTGAAGTTAGAGAGATTGTTCTTGAAATACGCGAACCTGATGAGCTTGGTATTTTCATCACTGTAAGTAATATAATTCATAATATAAATATTAAAATTTTTTGAGCCTTTAATGCTCGATGGAATAGCTGAGCCGGTAAACTTTGAATCACTTAACTAATTTATAATTAAATTCCAGAATCGCTAATTTTATGTTTTCTTGACGTTTCAAGCCATTCTGAATCGAATGAGACCAAATTTGGAGAATGTATGTGTGTGTGTGCGGGTGCGTGAACAGATTTTTTGCCGTAAATCGAAGTTTTCTCAAAGAAAAAACCGGTTGCACCGATTTCAAAAATTTAAAAGCCATTCGATGTATCTCGCTGAGGAATAGCGTTTATCAATTTTGTGCGATGATCGGCATAACCGTTTCTTCGTACACAGCAGAAAAGTGAAAAAATTTTCATCCCCGTTTTAGCCCGCAATTCTGAATCTATTTTAAAAATTCAAAAATCACCAATTAGGTGAAAATCTACCGAGCCGTTTTCTTGTAATTAACTGTTGAGAAAAAAATTCAAGCCGTTCTTGTGGAACTTTTTCGGCTATATATATATATATATATATATATATATATATATATATATATATATCATGGCCTTGTATAACTTACTGAAATATTAATGCCTTACAACAAGTAGTTAATTTTAAAAATTCATCAAAGTTTAAGAAAATGAGTGTTTTTTTTGACGTTTTTAAAATTAAATTAGACGATTTACTTGGTATAACGATAGAGTATTTGTATTATTCATCGCGAGTCGAAAGTCTCACAAAGGCGTTTTTCAGAATCGGCCTATATTTTCTTGAATAGAAATTATTGTTTAAACAAACGTACGGACACCAGCTTCATTTGCGAAAATTACCAATTTGTTCTAAATAATGTTTCCCAACTCATATCGAATACCTAACACCACAGTTTGCACAACATTATAACGCACACTTGCACAGCGCGCCAAGACGTTGGGTCAAACACGAGCACATGTGGTTGTTTTTTCTAAAATTTTTGACTTCGCATCTCGGACACTTACAAAAATATTATTCTGTATGGCACTGGCCTCGGATACACGTGCATTACGTATAATATTTTATTTATTAATCACTTTTTATCTTTTATTCTTTTTATAAAAAAAGAAATTACTGACAGTTAATGCTTGTCTCTAATTATTAATTTTTACAAGTTATATTAATATGTGTTAGTGATAATATAAGTAATTCAAGTAAGTAATGTTTTATGCAATTCTCTTTAGTTAAAACTTTTCTTCTTACTATTGCTTATGTATATTCAATTTGTAACGTTACTTTCTGTTTTTTTTTTCTTTTTTTAAATTGTAGAACCACTGAAGATGCCGTAGAATTTTACGTCGAAACGTATGGAAAAATAAAGATGTTTTGAAAAAAATCTTTACTTTACTTATTTTTTACTTGATGTTACGCCCTCCAAGAAATCAATCATATATATATATATATATATATATATATATATATATATATTTATATATATATACAGTAGAACCTCGATTATCCGGACCTCGGTTATACGGATTCGCGATTATCCGGACATAATCGCGTCGGAACTTTATATGGTCATATTCCGCCCGCGCCGCTGTTTCGCTGCCCTGCGCGGCATTATCGCTTTATGTAGTTTCGTTTGCAATTGTGACTGTGTTCTATATATGCATTATTATTAATACATTCTCTGTTTTGACGTTCATATATGCATTTTTAAACATGCCAAAGCGTAAGAGGGCGGTGTTATCCCTTAAAGATAAAATAAATATTATAGAATCATTAAAAAAGACGAAACCGGCCGTAAGTTAGCTGATAGGTATGTTGTAGGTACATCCACTATAAGCGATATTAAAAAGAATGCCGATTCTATTTTGTCGTACACTTGCACAAGTTAGATAGTGAAGAGGGTAATGAAAATCGGAAAATGATGAAGAGACCGAAAAATGAACTCCTAGAAGAAGCTTTTTATTGTTGGTTTTTACAAAAACGATCAACAGAACAACCGATATCTGGACCTTTGCTCTGTGAAAAAGCTGTAATTTCAGCAGTCTTCCACGCTGTGGGCCAATAATTATATTGAAGGATGGCGTTGAAAATATTTGTTATATATAAAATACCTTTTGTAGGCAATTCTTTTATCATTTTTAGAGTAATTTTGTCCATACCCGGCGAAGATCTGTTTTTCATCTTTTTATTTCACATAAGACATCATTTGGTGAAAAATGTCCTAACGGTGTTGAATGTATGGGTTGATTTACGAAATTGTTAATTAAATTATTCTGGGAAATATTTCGAGCGCTAAAAATGCTACTTAGATGAAAAATTAGTCGGCGATGAATCGTTCGTGGCAAGTAGTGGATTTAATTTTGTTGATATCTATTTATGTATTTGTTATTTTTGATAAACAAAACATCATTCTTCATAATTGGGATTATCCGGATTTTCGATTATCCGGATGCCTATCGACAGCAATTAGTCCGGATAATCGAGGTTCTACTGTATATATATATATATATATATATATATATATATATGTTAAAGAAGTTAGTTTTGATGTTGAGAAATATGAGTAAATTCTTCAAGGGCAATACATCAAATATAAGGCAAAGATTTAGAAGTTAATCTTTAATTTTTTCCAAACGTTTCGACATAGGATTTTATGTCATCATCAGTGGATCTACAGAATGAGCATTGAGAAATTAATATAAACTAGGAAAAAATGACAGAAATTGGAAAAAGAACTATAGATACAAGTATTATTAAACTGATTTCAGAAAAAAGTCTTTTAAAAGTACAATCTTCTCTATATAAAATATTGGGTTCAAAGGTAAAAATATTTTATATCAAATCATATTACGGATATTATTTTCATGTAAATTTTATCCTTTGCACTTTTATTTATTTAAATTTATGTTATTATTTATCAATATTACTAGATGTTAATAATTTACAGTTGTAATAATTATTGAAATTAAAAAAAAAAAAAGATTTAGTACCAGTTTAGGGAAGTCGGATATGACAAATCCGACGAGACAACTCCACTCGGATTCACTCCGAGGGAGGAGTTGTATCGGAGTGATAACTCAGGAGTGAGTTACCCATCTCTAATATATACATATACATGTACATACATATATACACATACACCTACATAAACATAAAGTTACTAATAAGTCAGTGAGCTGAGTGATCCTCGCTTCTGGGTGCAGGTAGAATTTTTGTTAAAATGATCCCCATCAGAGGGGACATAGTGTCAAACAATGCTGGTGATGCAATCAATGAATCACACAATAATTTGAACACAACGCTATGTCCAGGTATATCAGATATAGCCCAAAACCCGCTGACCAGCTCATGCGACGGTATGACTAGTAAAGTAGAACCAGTGGCTGAACTGTCACATATAATTCCGGAAAATGTCATTTTACAACGGAATGAGTCATTGAAGTGCCTTGAGAATCTGATGAATGAACTGCATATGATTGTCAAATCAAAGTCAAACATACATAAAGAGGTGCAAATAAAAACAGGCAACATAGCGGCCGTAATTAAAAGATTTATTGATTTAGACAACCAATTGTTAGAGGAAAAAGGCCGAACCACGGATGATACGGAAGTTATGATAAATGAAGTGCAATGTTGTGAGACAGCCCCTATAGAAAAAAGTGTACGGCAGGACACAAGCAAAGCCACAAGAAACCGAAACTCACAACATATAAGCAATAATCAGGTTAATGAGAAAAATGGTTTGCCAAGACGTCAGACGATCATAGAAATATGTAATAAAGAAGAAATCGAGGTAAATGACTGGCATAAAGTTCAGCCGAGAAAACAGAAAAAAAGGAAGCAAGGGTACATCTGTCAGAACAGGACACTAACCATAAAATGATAAAAAATCATAGAATTTTTCCAAAACCAAATGCCTTATTAATCCGGCCGACCGAAAAAGTTAATTATTCCGAAATATTACGTCGCATCAAGCATGATGTCCCTGATGACAAGGTAAATACGACAGTAGACAAAATAAACAAAACCAGAAATGGAGACTTGTTGATAACTATTTCTAAGAAAAGTGCGGACAAAGGCCAAGGACTACAACAGATTATCGCAGGTGTGTTAAAGGATGAGGCCGAAGTTATTTATAAGGGGCACCAAGAAACTATAGAAATAAGGGATATTGATGATGAAACCTCAAAAATTGATATCCAGATAGCACTACAAAAAGCAACCGGTGGAGCCTGCAACACACCAGCAGAAGTAATTAGGCTTCGTAAGGCATATAGAGGTACCCAGATTGCTACTGTAGCTCTTCCAGCGGCAGTTGTACACGATCTGCTCAAAGCAAGTAGCAAAATACGAATTGGATGGGTCAACTGTCGAATTAAAATCGTCAAGAAACCAATTCGATGTTTTAAATGCTGGCTATTTGGACATTATGGATCACAGTGCAAGAGCGAAGTGAATCGGACCAATCTATGCATTAGATGTGGACAAGAAGGTCACAAAATAGCCAACTGTATAAATGCAGCAAAATGTGCACTATGCGCTGAAAATGGAAACTCTGAAAATGTGGTACATCATGCCGGCACTCACAGATGTCCTGTATATAGGGAGGCCATAGAGAAAATAATGAACGCAAAAGCATGAAGATAATACAGCTAAACATGAATCATTGTGAGGCTGCACACGACTTGCTTATGCAGACGGTAAGAGATATGAAAATTGATGTTGCCCTCTTATCAGAACCTTACAAACATCTAACTGATTGGCCATGGGAAACGGACAGTACCACCAAAGCCGTTATTTGGTCCTGTGGCAAATTTTGTTTCCAAAATGTTGTTAACAATAGCAACGCTGGATTTGTCGCAGCATCATTAGAAGGCATACATTTATATAGCTGTTACGCTCCACCTAGTCTTTCTTTGCCAGATTTTGTCGATTTTTTAGATCGTCTTGTGGAGGATGCAAAACGACACCACCCCGTAGCGATAGCCGGTGACTTTAACGCATGGGCGGTA